TCGAATAATTTCAGAAGCATTCAAAAATCAACATCTTCTGGAAGCATTACACGTTTTTAATTGCCTTGCGTATTTAAAGAGGATGCAGCCGTGGATGATTCCTTGTGCATCTCGTGGAAACGCAGCACCATGTCCATTGGTAGAACTCGTAGCACGATTGCCCGAAGCATGCAGCAATAAGTTGTCGAGTTCGTGCCAAGTGCCTTGAGGTTTCGACTATGAACCTGTACCTTCTCGTTAAGTTGCCTCAGCTGATGAACGTCTACTTGCCAAAACGCTTCTTTAGCATTTCAATAGCGTCTTTGTAGCACTATTCCGTAGTTTGTAATACCATTATAGCCGACACAGCCACTCCGTTAGCCAAACTGCTCAAGTAGTTGAAATTGTCAGCTGTGCTTAACTGGCTGTTGTTGTGGACTGCTGATGTAAACTACGTCGGAAATATAGGCCATAGTCTGTGGTTTCCATCATATTTTATGAGTTCTAGTTGGGGAAGCTTGCTTTTGCCATATAATGACGTGTATACATTCGTAAGGAGTAGGGCTGAAGGCACAAGGCATTAATTCAGCTTGACTCGTAAATTCCACTTGAGATTAACAACCTTGTCACGGTATTCTCCAGAGTCTAACGTCTCGCTGTCGAACAGGTCGTCTGGCGTCTCATCATAAATTGCCTCATCCACTTTCTATATCTGACGATAAAATGAGCTTAATCGGTGGAAGCACTTACTGCTGCACTAACTGCTGCTGCCATGACGGCTTGAATTCTTCGCAAGTGGTCTTCCACCTCGCACAACCGGACATCCAGTTGGGACTGCAGGCTGTGGCGTCGTTGACGACATCGTTTCATTCTGCCACCCGCAGTCGATGCATCTAGCCAAGATCACAGGAGCCGTCTTCTGAGGTGTTGTGGCTCCTAACGTCGATGAGGTTGGCGTCATCAAAGATGTAGGGATTTCGGCACTATGTGTTGAACCTCTGAGCCTTACTGCTGCGGCATGGCTCACATCGAGCTAATAACATGTCTCGCAAGAATGAAGGATTTATTAGAACTCAAGAAGGAACAAAAAGAAAATGGTAAGCCAGCGTTGCCAAGAGGTCAAGCGTCAGCTAGTCAGGACGCTCCATAACGATGATGGCTGCTTTTATGCGGCGAGGGAAGGAGAAAAGGAAGTCACAACAGGGCGAATGGCAGGTGTGGCAATGTGCGTGGTCGTGGCAAACTCCAGGGCGTGCGGCGATGTAGTGGTCGAGGAGTCTGACATTTCTTAGGAGTTGCGGGCAATGGAAGGCGGGCAGGACGTGTGGGTGGTAAGCATATTTGAAAGACCGGCGGCCTAGGGCGCCGAAGAAACACGCCTCAAGGCAGACTGTTCCCGTTGAACCCAAATGTCGAAACCTCAGCGTATGGACAGTCGGACGCGGGACTCGCGTCACTAGTGGCTAGACGAGAGGTTGATAAGAAGTTTCGTTTGTTGGACATTGTCGAAAATGAATGTGGTCGGGAAGTCAATAACAAGCGAATGCTTGCTTGCGGCAGACTCCGAGGCGTGCGGTAAGTTAACCGTCGTAAGGCGTATCCTACCAAGTCGGCGTGATCGGATGCAGGTGTAAATGTGCTTGCGACCACATCGGAGATATTAGTCACGGCCACGGTAGTTATGTGACGGTCAAGGCAGGAATGGTGGTTGGTTGATACCGCTTGCTGTGACTCACAGGAAACCGGGAAGTCGCCGGTCCACGGAAATGGGTGGTAGGTGAGGCCGTAGGAGGCCAGCACCGCAAAGCACAGGTCATCGTAAGGCTGCGGGCTGGAGCTTGAAGTGGTAGCGAGATGACGCAGCTCTACCAGAAGGGCGTCGAGAAGAATGGCGTGCATGAGCGGCTGGTCCGTGACGTCATTCAGCGCGAGAGTGGCGTCGAGCTGCATGAATTATACCTTGGGGTAGGTCGATTGGAACAGAGGCACTAGTGGGCAGAGTCGTGGAACCATGAAAGCTGATGGCTCGTCGAAGGGTGCGTTCTGCGGGTTACCACTGTAGCGATCAAGAAAGGAGAGACGTGAGCGGTCGACGTGGTCATGCCAATCTCGCCAATTGATTTCAGGGCTGAAGCGGAGCTGCAGTGGCTGCCATGCAGTGTCCGATACACCAGGTGTGTGAACACTTTCTGTCTCCACGCAGCTTGAACTAGGCACCTTGGCTAGGCATCAGCTGTGCGAGAGGTGCGGCGTGGTGGTCAAGAGAATGATGATGATGCTCTACAAGGTCTAGGCACTCAAAATGTGCCAAAACTTTCGTCGGTTGCCTGAATTATGCGACATGCAAAGTGCCTGGGTTCAATCCTCACTCGAACCCGTAAGCGATTAGTATTTATTTTACTTGCATTTTGTTTTTCATTTTCTGTCAAGCACAAAATAATAAGTTTTATCTCCCAACTTTTAATGCCCATAAAATTGCCGCTGCGAGAGAAAGGAGGTCTTTACCATTTTCACGTTAAAATGCCCCTAACTTGTTATTTTGCGACTAGTTTTCTTTTGCGCAACAGCGTTATATGGGCTTCTCGTAACTTCCTTCGCCTTGCGCATTTGGCCTATTAAAACCAAAGAGAAGTATTTTTATTTGGAGGTCAGTAAAAAATGGATAAGCACTATAAGTTTATCACGATCATGATCATTTGCGCTGTTACAATCACCAACGTTTACTTCAAGAATTAAAATTTTACAGATGTAAAGTCAGTTGCGTGGAAGCCAGTGGTCATTTTTTACAAACTTACCAGCTTAGAGTTAGCATGCAATGTGTTTCGCTTCTCTGAGCGCACAAATTACCAAATTTTTGTTTCACAATAAGCACACTTCTTTCATTTCTCATAAAACACCTTAATTATCACGGAAAAGCCAATTTGCTTCGCAGCAGAAATCTTCTGGACTGTTTCACAAGACTCTTCTTCGTAAGGCCCGTCATGTTGATTTAGTTGGTGTGGTTCACGGCTGCAGACCCGAAGGTCGAGGGTTCACTCCTTACCACGGAGAGTGCAACTAGGTGGAGCCAAAATAGTGAATGTGCGTGGGCTCTGCCATGTCAGTGCACGTTCAGCGACACCAGGTGGGTGAAAAATCTATGCCCTCCACTGCGCCATCTCTTATTAAAAAGTGATGGTTTAGGTACTACCACCCCGTATATTGTTATTAATATGTAGCGGAGCGTTTACCGCTCAGGGCTTCGCTTTCTGTTTGGAATTGCTAAGATAATGAAAAAGCCAGATGGTGCAAACAACAGCGTCAAATTTGTTGGTTATTGGAAACTTGACATTGCTATTACAAATAATTAGCATTGCGAACAGAATTCAGGTAAATATATATATATATTACAACTATCCGAGGTAAAGGAAACAGATTTCCTAACATGCATAGCTCCTTAGAGAAACCATCGGCTGAGCTCTCATAAGGCAGAGATAAACTGCCAAACGTAGTGATTCACTGGTAGATCACCAATAACCAACGTGCCGCTAATACTATTGACCTTAGGGAGCAATAAACTATATATTTGCGTATCCACATGTGTACATGGCGGCGAGTTGCGAACCTTCCACGTACACGTTTTCAGTGCTGAATTGCGTTCTGGAGTCACTAGCTTCAGCAATTTTGACCCCATTGGGCTGGGCCTGCACAGTTTTAGTTTAATACCATTTATGTAAATTGCGTGCAACGTCTAGATTTTCAGTTCTTATTTGAGGAATGTTATTAGGAGTGCACGTGAGCCAAACTGCAATTTTTCTTACTGTACTTTTGGCGTCTAAGCTCTCTGTTACATGCGGTGTTTGAAGAAATTGTATCGGCAAGTTTATCATAATACATGAATTTTCTGATGCGTAATACTCGGTGGAAACGGTATTTTCAAGCAAAAAATTAGATAATGGAATAGCAGTGGTTGTCTCTTGTGATTTCTCTGTTTTCCCTTTCTTTTTATTAATATACTATGTAAAAGCTTATGAGTCCACCAGATCCTCCATTTGCAGGATAAAAAGCTTCTTTTTGTCTCATTTTCACTAATTTGTTACTCTTAACGCTTAGAATCGTTAAGCAAGAGAGTCAATTCTCGGTATTCCAGACATCTTCACGTGGCGCCATCTTTCGGCGAGGAGAAGAGCAATCTACCATAACTGAAAGTAAAATAGAGAGAAAATCGTATCTCATGAAAAAGCTAGTTATCAAAAACGACTCCACCTTATATGTAGCAGATACGCACTTATACATTTTGGTGAAATTTTAGTATCGCACTACGAAGCGTTTGACTTCTCGGAAAAATAAACACGACCTTTAGAAACACATGGGATCCCATTCATAAGCGGTATACATTGGGGAAGCCACACGGTTTATAGTGCGACACTGTAACGTCACCACGCCGTTAAAACAAGTCTCTGCTGTATAGAACCAGGACTAGTTTTTCATAACTAGCTTTCTTTTTTAAGTTATGGCTGTTTTGGCCTATTTACTATTCAGTTACGGCAGGCCACCACCGTGGCCGATGAGAGATGACGCTAAATGCAGATGTCTCGCAAATTCTAATCATGTCTTGCGGTGTGCCAACAGTGCCTATCTACCGTTAGCCTCCAGCGAACGAGTTTCGTCCAGTCATTTATTGTTCATTGCAAAAACGTCCACAACAGGCAAACTCCATTCGTGAGGCACTTGCGCTTTTCCCTCGCGCTACGTAGCATTTGTACTCAGCAGTACCTTGCTCACTGCTGTATTAAGCTATTAGGCGGCGCTAGATTGTATCGTTCACCCTGTTCTGTCTCGTACGCGACAGCTTGACGTTTGATTGACATAGGGGGCCGGTGCTGCAGGGGGAACAAAATACACAACTCCCAAAGGAGCTTATTCGCAACCTGCTTGCACGTGCGCTGCCGAGGGTGAATTGTTACATAGGGTAAGCCGGCATACAAGTTGGAGCGGACATCATCGTCAACCTCTTGGGACAAAACTGGCGTGATTCCTGGAACGAGCTGCGTTGTATCAGGGACTCGTTACATTCATTTCGGCCAGGTGACTGCGTACTTTATTCAGGTAATAAGCTATATTTCGTAGGGGCCATTAATAATCAGAACAGTATGGTATGCCTGTATATTGAAGAGGCTGCTTAGCAGAATTTTTTGGCAAGTAGTTACTAACCACGTATGCAACGTCCTCACAATTGGTAGACATAAACGCTCCTTTGAGCTTTGACCGTTTACTCGGGCCGTATGCCGATCAGAGTTATTAGCAACTATGTTAACTATTAGCTTCTTTAAGTATCATGTCGAAACAATCAGCCACTGCGATTGCATTTGGGGGGGGGGCTAATAATTCGTAACTTTAGTACATCACCAAAAAATTTATTTGCCTGATCCCAGTCATTGTAGGAGTAGCTGTCATAAGAAGCAATAGGCAAGTAGTTAGCTATATAACATTTTTATTGCTTTGAATCTAACGCTCTGGGTCCACCAACTCTTTGGATTTGAAGCAGCTATGCGTATGTTATGGGCAGGCCCTTAGCGAGGAAATTTTATGAGAGGGACAAACTACTCACTGGACGTCTTAACTATTATACTAATGAGTCTATTGAGGAAGCAGCCTTGCTCACTTTGCTACGGTATTGACCGGGGGCGCACTAGGCACAGCAACTTGAGGAATGCCTCATACTACTTAACGTTGGTGGTCATGTTAAAATACAGATGTCACTTTCATGCAAAATGGGTGCACGTTGCTGTGCAATTATGTGCATAATGTGACGAAGTAGTGACGATCAAACAGGCAACAACAAACAAATAGGACTCATCAGAATCTTCAAAAAGGGCAGGAATATCGTTTTCGTCTTTGTTCTGCCCAAGTGTTCTCACGCTGCTTCTTTGTCCTCGCCACTGGCACATACGCACGATGTTATTGCCCCTCCCAAAAAACTTCGTCCCGAAGGTGCAGGTTCATAAAGCAGAGAAAAGCATAATCACTCAACGTATCATTTCATCCGAAGCACGTGAGCAATTCGTACCTAATGTTTACAATGCTTTGAACACTGGGTGTCATCTAAAACAGCATCGTTGTTAATGTCACTGATGCACTGGAGAACCTCGTCTTTGTATGGTCTGAAGTGCCTCCGCAACAGTTTTTCAGAGAGCCCACGATGAACGGTTGTCCAAATCCACACTTTGTCGCCCAAATTGTGTGGGACAGGCGTGTGTCAGAGATTATAGTGCGGGGCGCCGCAGTCCTGTTGCTCGACGACTCCAACTGGGCATGTTCCCGAGCTTCTTCTGTTCGCTGCATAAAAAAATTAGATATCTCACGTACCTTGAGAACCAATGTTATGCGAAGCATACGCATGAAAGCTGACTGTGTCTTGCTTTTTTTATTGAGCAAGTCATTACGAAGTTGCGCTGAATATCTGTACAAATGCGCACGCCGACACAGGTATTCAGCCACGTATGCTTTATATCACTAGTTGTTGACAAATGTGTACGCGTGTACAATGATATTACTGTGATGCTCACAGTTGCGTACAGCAACCTGGATATAATCAACACCAGAAGTATTAGGCTAATAAAAAGCACTGCTTTTCACGAGGATGGAAGCGCTGGACACTGCTACATAAATAAACTTAAGGGGGTGACCCCTGACTACAACTGATGTTAACCCGACGTGACTGCTGTATTGTAGCAGTAGACGTGTAATGTTTGTAAAATTATGAAGGAAAATTTGCAGTCACAATAGGCGTTTCACGAACATAGGGTCTGAAAGATACTTCAGAGACCTGGAACTTTAGAATCTGAAAGGTAGTTCGGAAACCTGGTGTAGCTTTGTAGTAGTAGAGTTGATTGCGATGCTCATTTCTAGGAATCAGTCTCACAATGACATTTATTATTTGCATTCGTCCGGCCAACGATGTCATGTCCGCTTTTTCTTAACATCAAGTCTCAACATTCCCGTGTGTGTTTTTGCCATTTTTGAATAGATATAAACTATTAAACACCTGTGGAATATACCCGCATACCTGTGGTACATTCATGCTCTAGGGTATGTGCCACAGTTTTTTTTTTCAAAGTGCGTCATGACACAAGTGACGCAATACGGATATTATCCATGGCATAAGTTTTATTCCTCAAACCATTTTACTTCCCATACTAATTTCGGTTTACCCCATGTTGATGGTCTTGAAAGCACGGAGACGTAAGGGGCAAGATTGATAGATAGATAGATATATAGATAGATAGATAGATAGATAGATAGATAGATAGATAGATGGATAGATAGATAGATAGATAGATAGATAGATAGATAGATAGATAGATAGATAGATAGATAGATAAATAGATAGATAGATAGATAGATAGATAGATAGATAGATAGATAGATACTCAAAGTGCCTAGAGTACACAAAGAAGTGCTTCGTATTTAATACTCAGGCTTCCGTCTCAACGGAATCGTTGTCATAAGGATCATTGCATCTAACATTGTTGCAACATCATGTTCATAAATGAGACTAATCGGCGTTGCCGAGTGGTGTCCTGACAAGCCGTGTTGTACGCGAATGTGACGTACAGAGGATGTCATCCTATTTCTTGTTCTCTGCGTCTACGTACATGCTGATCAGTGATCGTCTTATGCAAAGTCCTGTTGAGACGTTCTGTCAGCCCATTGGTCTGGGGATGGTATGCTGTTCTCTTCCTGTGAACGATACTATTTAGTCACAAATTAAGGTACAAGAGCACGGCCATGAACGCAGTACCTCTGTCAGTGATAACTAATGCGGGTGCACCTCTATAAAAAAACGTGCCACTTTAGCCGTTTCTACCGATCGAATGGGTCGTGTCTCGGCGTATGAGGTGAGGTTATTGGTTGCCCCGCTTATTCACGTTTCCGGTAGCAGGCTTTAGAAAAGGTCCTTTAAAATGCATGCTCGTTTGTGCAAATGGTGTCGTCTGCCCTTGAACAGGCTGTAAGAGACCAGCTGGTTTTACCAGTGGTTGTTTGTAGCACTGACAGCACAAACATGTCTACATGTATGTTTTCACTACTGTTGCAAGTTTAGGCCAGTAGTTGTCTGGCCTAGTCCTTGCCATTGTCCACGTTTAGCCTAAGTCACTGGTGGCTGGTTTGTTTTGACAGGCGTACATGATTCCCCTTCGAAGCGATGAGGTAACGACGAATGAGTAGCTGCTTCCGCTAGAGTAGATGTTCTTGGAAAGTAACGCGATTGCACAAGTAGTTTGATGCTAGTTCTCTTGAAAATAATTTTGGCACGCTATCGGTTCGGCCATCGAGGTAATGAATTAGTGGTACTAGTTCAGCATTGTTTCGCTACTGGCATGAATAAGCGGCAGTGTCGACAACGCCAAAAATGTCGTGTTGTCGTTGTCGTGGTCTGCTGCTTCAATGAAAGACCGAGAAAGACAGTCGGCATCAGCGTGTGGTATGCCAAGTTGTAGGTAATGGTGAAGTCCAACTCTTGGAGCTGAAGATCCTTGAAATTATTTAATGAACAGATTGAATGGCGATCGTTGACAACTGCGAACAAACGAACGTACACATACGAGCGAAATTTGAGGACTGCCTATACCATTCTGACAGGTTCTTTCCCGGTCACCATACAATTGACTTCAGGTGCGGACAGCGTCCTACTGGAATAAGAACCACCTTTTCGCTGTCGTGATGCCACTGTACAAATGCTGCTACGAGACCCGCATAACCAGCGTCTGTGTGCAATATAGTCGGCGAGTCTTCATCGAAGTGGGTTAGGACGGCAGGCGTTCGCATGCGCTGAGGAAGCTCGTAAAGCCAGTTGTTGGCGCTTGCCCCATGCAAAGGGGATATCTTCCCTGTTCAGGAGGGTCAATGGCCATGCAATGTGGTAAAAACTAACAATAAAACGCCAGCGGTATGCACAAATTCTCAAGAATTGCTGAACTGATTTTTTTGTCATGGGGGGTCGGGAAATTTGCAATGGCAGCAGCCAGAAATCAGGTAAGCACCCTGGGCTGCTGGCGACGTGGCTGATGAATTAACGTTTATGGAAGCCGAAGTGACATATTTAGGGCTTCAGTGTAATACCACCTGACCGTATCAAGTCAAAAAGACCTTTTAACCTTTTTAGTGCTCCTCGAACGTCACAGAAAAGAGAATCACGTAATCAAGGTACACAGCACAGGTCTATAACTTAAGTTCTGAAAGTATGGTGTCCATTAGACGCTACAATGTTGCTGGCACAAAACACTGATAGCAGGTGGCACCTGAAATTCGTAAAGCCTGCCGGGCGTGAAAAAGGCGGCCTTCTCACAGACTGCCTTCCTAACTTCAGTTTGCCGATGGCCGCTCTTCTAGTTCATTGACAAAGAGTAGCACGCGCTTCGTAACCTATCCAGGGCATCAGCAATACGTGAGAGCGGATAAGCGTCCTTTGTGCCTCTGTTAGGCTTCCGTTGGTCGGCACAAGAACGCAAGCTACCATTCTTTTTTTGAACGAGTACTACTGAAGATGCCCAAGGTTTGCTGAATGGCCAAGTAACACCATATTCCAGCATTCCTTGCACTTCTTTTTCAAATGCATCACAATCCTTTCGGGAAACGCGCTAATAATTTTGCCGGTTCGGTCTGGAGTCGAATCTGAAGCTGCGTGAGCGGTGTTTGACCAACTCTGAAAGTTTATCAAAAGGCAGTTCTGCTCTGTAGGCTGTCGAAAGGCACGAGTACGAGTCGATAACTCCATGGCAGAAGTGTGACGTTCTCGCCGGTGATACGTAAACGAGGTCGCTAATTTTTATCATGATTACGCGTGCCCGAGTTTGTGGAAAACATTACGCCCTTGGTACAATCACTCGTTATTTTCGCATGTAGTCCATTCCCAATATTACCGCTTTACAACTTTTATGAAAAATGACGCGGTTTGCGATGAAGGAGGAACCAGCGATTATGAGTCGGGCCGTGCACTTTGATGAAAAATGACGCAGTTTGCGATGAAGGAGCAACCAGCGATTATGAGTCGGGCCGTGCACTCTTCAAGAGGTGTCATCATATGGCATTCGGCAATTTTTATA